TTCCAATGTGCAACTTGAGTTTCTCAATCCATATCACTCTGGCAATCGACAATATTTCTTATTCCAGCTTCTACGATTCTTGTGTATAATTTGTTTGGTACACTAAACAGAAATGGGTCTTGATGGGTATTACATTTCCTAGTATCTCCTTTCTTGTAAAGGTAAAAACCACAGTCCTTTCATACTATTTTCTAATATGCTTGTTGCCTATGTACGCGCAAAACTGTCAAAGCAGTTCGGTTTCGCCCTTTCCATCTTTCTTTGTGCAGAGAGAATAATACATTCAATATTAAAATTTCCTATTTTTTTATGATATGGTACAAATTCCGAACAATTCAAGAATAATGAGAAGAATAACGAGCTACAACTAATATAAGATACCTTAAAAAATCTTTTGAAAATCCACTAAACAGAAGGAAAGCTATGAGCTATAACTTTCTCGATATACCTCTCTATATCCTGCTTCAAAGTTAATATAGTCTCGATGTGCACCTTCAGCAATCGAAAATAAAGTGGTTTTCACCATAATAAACCTACATCGTCCACTTAATATCATCCATACTGCAATTGATCCCGTTTTAGCAGCATCTTGAAATATTCTGTTCATCTATCTACTATACATTCATTTAGCTATATAATGGATATAACTGGTCCTTTTTATCTATTCCGAGGTTTTGGCACTTCCTTTCTCGTTCGCTTAATGTATTTTTCCAATTTTCTCGTTTAAGTTCACGTTTTTCCTCATTTTGAGATCAAATCCAAACAATCAGTTTTGGTTTATAGAAGAACTTATAGGGTCACCCTTTATATCTTTCTTTGTGCATAGAGAATAATTCATTCAATATTAAAATTTCCTATTTATTTATGATATAGTCCAACTTCTGCACAAAATAAAGGAAATAAAAATTAATTTTTTAATTAGTGATATATGAGTTTTACTAAACAACCCGGTAGCTATTCATTATATATAGTTCAGATTAGGTATATATTATTTTAGTTTATAAAAAAGGTATGAATATGACTCATTTCCTGGGAAGTATATAAAAATTTTAATTACTTCTAAGAATCAGTAAATATTCAAAACACAGTGTTAAATTGCAAACGTTAAATAAAAAAAAATCAAGATATTTAGCAAAATATTTTTTAATTAAGTTTTATTATTATAATTATATCATTTTTACAATTGAGGTATTCTTAAACGACCTACGTATAGAATAAAGGAGGTTAAAATTTAAAAAAATAATAATAAATTTTTTTTTTAATTTTAATTTTTTTTTTTTACTATTAAATTATTGCATTAATATTTGTTCGTTAATAAAACCAATATAATGTACCAAAAATGTTATTATATCACTATAACTAAGCCATTTATGGGCACTGAATGGTGTGGTAGAGGCCTGTAGGCACCCACGCCAGTACCGCTTTTCTGCCGCATAAGTGCATTTTTTACGGAACTACTTAAACATTTGTAAAAAATAATCAGCGTTTCAGAAAGAGAAATATATTCTCCAGATGGTTTATTTCAGCACGTTTTGCGTTATTGTAGGCCGTTTAATTACAAACGACGCTTGATTTGTAACTTGAAAATTTTTTTGTTAAAAAAATTGACTTTACTGGTGTTTTTCATAGCCTTAGCCAATTATTTTTTAATATTTCTTCATGTTTTATTATTCTATAACTATTCAGCTTTAATAAAAGACCAACTATGAGGAAATTAAGCTTAATGCTGATTCTCAGTGACCAAAAAACTAACTAAAGTCAAAGTCGTCAATCCGCCATCTTTGGACGCCATTTTGGGGCAGTGCGTTCACTTTTTTTTGTGAGAACATTGGCTTTTTTTTAATAAATTGTTACAAGGAACACAACGATATGCAATTTATAGGGATGTGGGGGGGGGTGCACGGTAAGGGGGTCTGGCCCACCGTGTATTAGCCAGATTCCTACAAAGAGATGGGAGACTAAAAAGTGCAGGAGGTGCAATCTCAAATTCAATAGTATTTTCATAAAAAGCGCCTCATAAAACCTAATCGTCGACCCTGATATCGACCAAATCTGTAATGTTAACAAAAGTGGGTGCCCGGGGGCCCTATCTCAAATCAAACATTATTTTTATAAAAAGCAGCCCCCAAAACCTAATAATCGACCCTCATATCGATTAATTCTGAAATGTTACAAAAAGTCGGTGCCCCGGGGCACTATTTCAAATCCGACATTATTTTCATAAAAAGCACACCCCAAAACCTAATAGTTGACCCTGATATCGATTAAACCGGAAAAGTTATGAAAATTCGACATCATTTTCATAAAAAGCGCCCCCCTAAATCTTATAATCGACTCTTATATCGATTAAATCTGAAATGTTACAAAAGGTGGGGTCCGGGGGCACTATCTTAAACTGGACATTATTTTCATAAAAGTCAAGTGGTGTAGGAAAAAAAATATAATAATTAAAATCATAAGGGCCCCAAAGTTGATTATATCCAAAATATTTTAATAATTCTTTCTTTTATCGATTTACATTAATATCGATACTATTTAAAAAAAACTATATCCCCATAAGAAAGCAATGGACTTGAATATGGAAGAAATATTAAATATTCTACTCCTGTAATTTTTATAATGAAGTACTCGATTACTTTGAAAAGTACTCACGAGGACAGCTGATTACTTTTTGTACTCGTCAATCATGAGGTCGAGTAGTGATTAAAGTACTCAGTACTGGTGAAATCTTCAAACACAACTGGAATTAAATAATAAAGATGACATAATTAGAAACATGGTTTGATTAATTTTTATTATTATTTTCAATGATGAACCTTTGTTATCCAACCGGTTGCAACAGTTTGGTGTATGGTGAAAAGATCATGATAACAGTTTATAATTATGATAGCATTATGCAGATAGCAGAGAAATTATGTATAATGAATTTGTCACTTCTGCAATTATTTTAAGCATTTTAATTTCTTTTTAATGTTTATCTGGAACACTTTTTGTTAATTCATAATGTTACAGTTTTTATAGCATTATGCTATCTGCATTATATGCATAATGCTATCTGCATGCAGATAGCAGAGAAATTATTTCTAATGAACTGGTCACTTCTGCAATTATTTTAAACATTTTAATTTCTTATTCATTTTTATCTGGAACACTTTTTGTTAATTCATAATGTTATAGTTTTTTTATTTTTTGCTGACCAAATTTCCATATTAACATATCCCCAAGTATTATGAGTTAGTTGTTAGATGCTGTTATATGGTAAAATATTCCAAATCTGATTGATTTTTCTCCTGTTACTCCTGACCTGAACTTCTTACTACTGCCCAAAAATATCACATCACTTATGGTTAACTCTCTAAAATAATGTAACAGTCCAATTCAGATATACTTTTACTTATTTACAGTTAAGTTAGGTATGATGAACTGTTCACAAATGCAAACAAAAGTTATACCTTTTTATTTTTATTCTAGAAAAATGAATTCCCTCTCAGTACACTTCATGTTATTCGCTGCGTGTTTCATTTCTCTTGCGTTTAATAGATTCTTTATTTTATATTTCTTCAAAAGTAGTTTGTATTCTTTTAAGATGAATAAATGAAACGTTATTCAGGATTTAAGGAAGGAAATAATAACTTGCCCAATTAACTTGAATTAAGAATTAGCCAAAGCAATACTGTCAGAGCACATAGCCAGTCAATGATCTCTAGGAGAGTAAAGCATTACAGAGATGCAACCATACTATGAGACTCATGTCAGATTGGCCACACATTTCAGTAGGATATGACAACCAATTTATTCCAGTTGATGGAGTCTTCGGTATAAATATTTCTTGATGAACTGTTACAAGGTGGTTGAATGAAATTGTTATGAATGCTAGATCTGTAACTCCTCCATGTTCTAAGGCCCCTTTCAGACTGAAGATGCAAGACGCAAGATGCATGCATCTTAAATATTGCTGTAATAGAGAGCTTTCACACCGAAGATACAAGTGCGTCTTGTATCCTGGCTACAAGACACACTTGCATCTTGGGAACCAGATTTTTAGCATGAATCTTTCTTGTGCTGGTCTTGTATACTCATTTATTCCACCTGGGCGCGCCTGAAGTAAAACATTTTTGAGGAGGAGGAGGATTCAATGGATCCGATCGGCTTACACCGCATGGAAGATTAAAAATTGGATGCCAAATCACAATAAATCGTTTTCTTAATCTTTTGAAATGACGATTGAACGTCATGGAGTGGTGTGACCTAAGGTTTTTTTCTTTTCTCTCCTGAGGATGCCTGAATTGGTAAAACGTTGATGGCTTATTTTATTCTTTACCTAAATTTTAAGGACACAAAGCTGTGAGATTAGAGTTTTCCAATTATAAGGTAAAATTTATTCTCCTTCCCCTCCCCAAGATGTGGTATTGACACTTTTAATAAACAACGCTGTGCAAAATATTCTTTAGTAACATTTCCTGTTTTGAGCTACATCCACATGTTTAAAAAATGAGATACTATTCATGGGAAAATATAGTATTTACCTCAGAGATATAAGTAGTCTCTCTTTCGCAACTACACATAACTGACAATTTGTATCTCAACGACTCAGTGACTGTTCCATGAGATACAAAAATTTGTTTAAAGTCGAAATCTTCATATCTTCTTTTATAATACGCCTGAAAATTTACTGGCTGGTTCAGTAACTGCTGAGACACCATTGCAACGCTATGCTCTCCAGCATTATTCCAGTGTGAATGGTGCCATACAATTTCTTCTTTGTCTTTGTCTTCTTCTTACTGCACAAGTCAAAATTATAATTTTGTCGCCTGAAGAGTCGGATGATTGATTAAACTAACAAAGATAATGGATATAAACAGAAGATGCAAGATGCACATGCATCCTGCATCCAGGAAGCTTGCATCTTCGGTGTGAAAGGGACCTAAGACTTCATTTTTCCTTGATTACATTAGTTGGATAAAAGTTAAATAAAAAATGGTAATTAATATTGTTCATAGATGAGTCAAGATTCACTTCAACTCACCTCATCAAAGGAAGAGTATGTGGTGAAGAAAAAGTGGGAGGATATTCACTGTACAATGTGTTCTCTGAAATGGAATTACCTTAGAGGCTCAGTAATAGGAGTGGGATTTGTAATGAGGCTCACGCAGAGTTACTCTCTGATAGAGACACAGTAAATGTCTATAATATGTGATACTATTTATACCATTTACTGCAGATGGTTTTGGGAAAAGACCAGTCCCTTGTCCTATTCGTTTCTCAAATGAAGTTGAGTTTTAAATATGTCATGTAATTTACAGTCAACTCGAATGTGAATTGTTAGTCATTCTTTGTACATCTATCTGTTGTTATTTGTAATTAATAAAGTAATCGGTTTCAGGATTATACCTGTCCAAATTGTCAATGTGGGTTCATTGAAGCATTAGAAAACCAACCCGATCAAAATGAAGAAAGTGATCCAGACATTGAGGTGGAGATGGTACAGCCATTTGAAGAGGTATGTTTTATTTTATTCTTTATATGTATTGTACATGCCCCTGAAGAAATACAAATGTAACGTGTATGCATGTTTTATCCACCTGCCCCTGATGTAAAATGTAGAATCTCTAAAAATATATTTTTGGCCCTTGCTTTTGTTATCACTCATCATAATGTGGTCTTTTATTTTTGTTTATATCATGCTAGCGTATACGAATTACTCTATAGAGAACCATTGAAAACTATTACTCACAATCCTATCGAGTTTGAATGAAGTTTTATCAGTTCCACTTGTGAATACCTCTTTTAAGTGTATGCAGAGATGCTGAAGGAAACCTGGTTATGAACAAGAATCATATTCTTAAGTAATAGAAAAATTATTTCAATACTCTCTTGAATAATGTAAATATGGATAAAATTTTGCTGAATATAAAAATACCGGTAGGTGATGCAGAACCCCATGCATTCAGAAGAGTTAACTTTATTTCTCGAGTCTGGAATGAGCAGTCAGAAAATTATGAATCCAGATGGGTGGAGCAGTGTTTAACAAATATGTAATGGTCCTATTTTCTGCAGATGATGCGTTATTGGGGAAAAGTTGATAGATATGAGCAAAGCATTCTTTGAGCTTCAGTTCGAGTTGCAGTTTAAGTGGGACTTGCAATAAAAAAACCTAATATATGCTTGCTCCATATAGAGGTTTTAAAAAAAGAAAAATAAATTACTGGGAGCACTTACTGTTAAGTTTTGTGAAAAAAAAATTCCATGTTAAATTTATAATTATTGGCAATAATATTAGAGATTACTATATTTTTAGTATTTTTATTTTTATCGATTATTTTATTAGAAACTTTTTATTTAGTTCCTTAAATTTTAATTTGAGAAGGAGTTGGTCGTGGGGTATGCGGCCAAATAAATACTAAATTTTAAAAAATAGTATTTTTAATTATCACGCAGTCATTTCGGTCCCCCAACTTGCAGGTCTTCAACAGGGCTACAAATGTGGGCCTCTCTGCAAGGTGAGTCGAAGCGTCAGCATAATAATTAAAAATACTATTTTTTAAAATTTAGTATTTATTTGACCTCACTCCCCGACCAACTCCTTTTTCTCATATTATATCATGGTCAACAATCTCTACATCTTTTTAAATTTTAATGATTGAAAATAAGTTAAGTAATTTAAAACGATTAAATAAACTTCAAATAGTTATCTTATGTTATGTTTTATTCATAGTAACTTTTATATTGTGTTTTAAGATGTTGAATGAAATGTTGGTTGACGCTGGATATCGAACAGAGGAAAGAAGGGGTGGAAGAGCTCGTAGAAGTGGCAGGTGTGTAAATTTTCACTTGCTATTTGTTGATCTATAGCCGAAGTCATTTAAATGCATTGAATGATTTTATAATTTCTTTAGTGCAGTAGTTCAAGTTAAATTTTACTTTTAAATTGCTTTGTGTAATCAATTATTGAAATACTGTAAGGTAGTAAAGTGTTTTTTGTTTATTTATAATTTTATATATCTATTGTATTTAAATTTAGGCTACCTGAAATCTCGAAAGTCTTAGTAATAAGGCAGGTTGTCAACCAATAGCCAAGCTATGTTAGAAAACTGAGTGAGCTATGTTTAAATTTGTTGGCTATGCTCTTGGTCGAATACAAGATTAGAATTTTTGTTTTCTCCCCTTCCTCGTTTTCAGCTTTATGAATTTTTGTCAGGTCAGAGGAGAGGGCAGGTAATTACTGCCAGGACTTGAAAGTTTCCCCTGGCACTGGATTTGAACTTGTAATCTTCGGTTTATCAGATTGCCGAGCAATGCATGTTTTACACACGCATTAGCACACTCGCCCACCACGCCCCCTGATGCTAGTTCAGCCAATGATTTCCCCTCATTTCATTCAATTAAAAATTCATCAGAAATCTGTTACTTTTCTCTCTCACCATCACTCCTGTTTTGCTCCTTTTGCTTTTTTGTTGTGTTCTAACCTCATTATCTAATTCACAAATTAAAGTGACAAAATCCCTAATTTCTTGCTTCTGTTGAATGTAACTAGTAACTACTTTACCAATAATATGGATTCCTTCTTTTCATTTTAAAGTAATAACATTCTTTTTCTAATCTGAATGTTTTGGAATAATCATCGTAACTTCTTTTTACCATTTTCGTAATAGTGTTCATCCAACTCGACGTACCAATAACAACTATTAGCCTTTTATCTTGTCTTTAGTGGCCATCTATTAGTTCACCTAGCTTAGCTTTTTCTCACAAAATGTCCCAATAGTTTTTATGGAAATCAGTCAAGTTAAAATTTAAATCATGGTGCAATTTATTGACATTGATACTTTTATTCTCTTTAAATTTCTGTCTAGTTAAATACAAAGATGAAATTATCATCATTCTATGAAACTATTTTGTGGATCTCAAAAAAAAAAAAAAAAAAAAAAAAAAAATGGCATAACTCTAAAATAAGGTATATATATTTTATATAGGACACAATAAAGTACCCTTTACTTATAAAACTTAAATTAAACACGGTACATGAAGGTAATGCTATTATCGTTGACCAAACTCTAAATCATCACTTACTTCCTGCTGCCCTAACTAATTCATTGTAATATAAAAATTTTTATCTTAATTCCCCAAAATTCCAGCTTTGTGTTGCCACTATTTATATTGCCCCCCAACAAAGTTATCTCTTTAAATGAATCAAAGAATATTTTCTCATCTATGGGAAAATAATTCTTGATAGGTGGAGACTCCAATGCTAAGAACTTAAAGTGGGTCTCTCTACTAACAAGTACCCAATGTAAAAGACTACTAAAGAGCATCACGGACTTCAAACTTTCTATTATTTCTTCATAACATGCTCCTCACCAGTTCCACACTCAAATGTTTCATCTCTTTCGATCATGGCCTAATTTTACTAGAACTATCAAAATACTTTTGTAAAAACTAGACCCCATTATTGGCCGACATTAATTATTGGCTAGATGAAATGGGACAACTTTGAAAATTACTTAAACAACAAAGTTATGCAAAGATTTGGCCCAAAGGAAATCAACAGACTTCCAAACAAAAAGCTCCTGCCTATGATCTAATTAATCACTCCCTTCATCCTTCCCCACCTACCCTGATTTCTTACTCACATCTTTAATGCTATCTTATGCACAACTCATTTCCTTCTCCTTTGAAAACTTTCTGCAAAATAAAAATTATTCCATAACCTTCTAAATCCACCAGTAATTCTTCATCTTCAAAAAATCGTAAGTGTACCCTGGTTTATTTCAAATTACACAATACTATACTAACAGTAAAATCCTACATACATAAGAAGTACACAACAATCCACTATTCAACCATTAATCACTCAAATCCACTTGTCCTATCTCTTTCTTTATCCTGTTACCTGGTGAGCATCAAAGAAGACTAAAAAGGCAGTGGCCTTGAGATCCGCTTACAATATCAATAAAGATCAAGAAATAAGAAGACGGTACAAAAGACAGCACATTTGCTAGATGCATTGTCAAATAATGTAAAATAAAATTAATAAAAAAGAAAACAATTTAAATTTATCAGCAAGAAAATATTTGTAAATAATAAGTACCTACTTGTCCATTTTTTTCGCAATTAAACATACCTTTGTAAATTTAATAATTCATTATGTTAGGTAAAAGAACATAAACTTTTTTATTATATTAGTTAAAAAATAGTTTAAATCACTATTCAATAAACAATAGTTTTGTGTTTTAATAATAAATAGAAACTTACTTGTCATCGTAATGTTCTTTTTACAAAAATAAATAAAAAACAACAAGAATGAAATCGCTGAGCAATCGCCAAAAATGTGAAAAAATTATTCTGATAAGTAGAAATTCCGAAATTATGTTGCTTTTATTCAGAGATTCAGTAAATGGAAATGTTGGATCTGAAAACTGTCTGATCCAATGTAAATTAAATGGGAACCTTATAATTGTATTTATCCCTATCTAGTTTTGTAGACTTGTATGTTTTATTAGGTTATATATATCTTGTATATGGGCAAGATTGTATCAGATCCATGAAAATCGTATTGAATATTTAATCTTATTGTTATAGGACAGGAAGAGCTAGGCAACTGGCCCCCATTGAACATCTTATTCAAGATTTTATTATGAATTTGACGGGAGTCGGCTGGGGAGGTTCAAATACAATTGGTGTTGGAACTGCACGTGGGGGAACTCCAGGAGGGCATTTGTGAGTACTTAGTGACACAATCCTTATATTCTGTTAATAAGAATGCATCTATGATAAAGTGATTTCATACATGTTTAAAATACGATTATCTTATAGTTTGTATGAGGTAAATTTCCTCAGGTCAAGATTAAAATATTTTATTTTACTAGGGTCAGTGACCTGATTTATTTACTTTAAATAAATATTATAATTTTTAAAAATAATATTCTGAACAATTAATTTGTTCATATTTAGTTATTGTAGTATGATGTTTAAGAATTGTTATTTCAAACAATTCATTCTGTAATTTATTCATCATAAGTACTGATTATCTAAGTGGAAAAGCTTTTCCTCAACTAGAATTACCTGGATTAAGGAAATGTAAAATAAAATAAAAAATTGTTAAGTAGCTGTTATAACTCAAATATACATCTCTTTACTCACTCTTATGTCCTATTTTAACATAAGCTAGTTGTTGTTCATTAGAGTTTAACTTACTTATAAACTCCAATTACTATAAGTAAGATTGGTCTGTTCCATAGATTATCAATTTGTTCAAGCCAGAGTAGGAAGTTATTCTCTAGGTTTGGTGCTAAATAGAATTCCTTCCTCTCATCCCCAGACTGGATTCAAAGTTTCTTGCTTGAGATTGCTTGTGTGTTACCATAACACCACTGTGGAAATTGACTCAAAAAATCTAAAGCTATTTGAGTTTTACCGTATATATATATATATATATATATATATCAGTTACAAAAAGTCATTAATTAACATTACTTAATGTTAAACCACTTAAGCCTTAATTTAACTTTTAGGCCTTTTTTTTCCAATAAACCAAGGCCCCCAACTTTTAATCTTCTTAATCACATGAAATTAAGAAACGGCAGTAGATATCAGGCTAATCACATGCAATCGACATTGCATGACCGTTTAAATTCAATTTTTTAACTGACCGAAAAATTGTATAAAATCAACCTTATCATCAATGCAGGTTGAATTTGATGGTTTCAATTCTGTGTAAAAACTGTAAAAAGTAGACATGAATTATTCTTGTCAATGAGCACCACAAAGAAAATTTTTTCAAACCCACAGTGAATGATCTGTTTGTTACAATTCCCTTCTCTAAACGCTGTGGTAATGTTTCTTGCATCCTATAGGTAATGTTTCTGGCGGCCAAATGTCTCTAGTTTAAACTAAAAAAAAAAAAAAAATTAAATAATCGAAAATTGTGTTACCATGATCATGGTCATATTTGATGGCATACTTAACAGTGTGCAATCAATTGGAATGGTAATAAATGTTATAAAAGAGGATTAATAATGGCTGATTGTAATCTGTAAACAACAAAAGTGTACTAAATCCACTTAGAATTTATGAAATAACAAGAAATGGACATGACATGATGAAATGATCAAATAAAAAAATATACAGTTACCAATAAATTGGTTTGCCAGTATTTAAGCATATCCATCCATATATCCAAAATTTTCTCCTAACTACAAGTTCTTTTATGTTAACTTCATACAGCTTACAAATTTCACTTCTATCACCTTTCTTTCTGATCTCTACATCCATTTCTGTAAAACTACCTTTTTAAAAATTCTTATTAATGCTCTGAATTAATTTAAATAAAAATGAACACTTACAAACCAATATTATATATAAAAGCTACAATGTCACTAACAAACTAGTGCTCATGTATGATTTAGAGTCAAATATTACCATTAACTTCTATGTTTCCTCTCTCTTCTCCTACTTCTCCCACTTTTATTATATTTTTTTTTCTATCTAATTGTTTTGTTTTTATTTCCAGATTATTAATGGCTAACCCAGGAGATTATGCTTGGGGTCGGGAAGGTCTTGACGCCATTGTTACACAACTTTTGAATCAGATGGATACTACAGGACCTCCTCCTTTAGCGAAAGACAAAATTAGCCAAATTCCTGTTGTTATTATTACTAAAGAACAACAAGGTATTTTATCTATTTTATTCTTTATTTTTTTCATTCAAAACAATTGTCTATATCGCCTAATCTACCTGGTTATATCGCCAATTACAACTAAAAGCCGTCCTCTGTCTTTCTCATATCTGTAATGGTTATTTAATTTCTTATTTATTTTCCTCTCCTTTAGAAACTTTCTGGAATCAAAATAATTCTTAAACCTCCCAACCCACTAGTGATCCTTCCTGATACACTTCTTTAGTTTTGTCTGCCATTTCATTTCCTGATATTTATACATGTCCCAGCACCCACTGGAAAAAGTAATTGTTGCTGGCGTTGTATATTAATGATATGATTTTAAAGGAAATATGTGTCAGTGCCTTATTTTGGTAGATTAATTTTAGGTGTTTACATGCAGTTGCTGAGTCTGTCAGAATAACTATTTTTTGGTTAATGTATGTGTTTTCGCTGTATATTATGGTGTTAAGAATGTCATACAGTTCGGCGCTGAAAATACTGAAATCAACTGTTATTGATAATGAAAATTTCTGTTTCTTTTGGGGATCATACACAGCTACAGACGTTCGGTTACTTGTTTTTGATGCGTCTGTATAAACTTGTAGATAATTAGGGTAACGCTCCGTGATTGTGTCCAGTGCTAATTTTTTCAAATAAATTAATGAGTATGAACTTTTCTTCTCTAATTTACCAGCTAGATTAGAGGAGCTGTGAATATTAATTAAAGATTTGGGAATGGGCGTTGTGTATTCCAGAGGAGCTTCCGAAATGTGTATTGATTTCATAAGAGGCTGTAATTTGTTAATGACGAATAGTTGGGGACAGAACATGTTTCCACTTCTTATTTCTTTACCTACAGGATGATTATTGTCGGAATACACTTTGAGAATGTATTTTTTCGTTATCCATGCCCTTCTGATGTGTAATGGCATCTCTCCGGCTGAGGCCTGAAGCGCGTTTACTGAAGATGTTTTAAAAGCATCCAAACATAACCTTATGAAACAGTTTTGTGTTGTATTCAACCTATTAATGAGAGGTGATTTAGTTTGATTGTATATGACACAGCAATAATCAAAATTAGATCTTACTATTGTTTTGTAGAGAATGAGCATGTTTTGTAGGTGAGAACCCCACGATACTCCAGCTAAAGATTTTAATATGTTCAAGTTTTGCTGTGACTGTGTATGAATATTTTTTATATGAGTTTTAAAGTTTAATTTAGCGTCTTTTTTTTTTTGTTCTTCCCTACCTCGCCTTTTAAGCTATACGGGATTTTCCTGGGCCGGGGGGTGAGGGCGGGGAATTTAAAATCCGGCACCGGGACGCGAACTCGTACTTTTTAAATCTTCTCAAATCTATAATCCGGTTGCCAGGTAACTCGCGGTGCTGTGCACACGCTTTAGCCCATTCGGCCACCCCGTCCCCATTAATTCAGTGTCTAATGTTACTCCTAAAAAATTTATGTGTTCTTCACTTATAAATCTCTTCCCTTATAATATTGTCATAGGCTTTCTGAAAATCAAGAAAGAGATGGTGCGTGGTAGTATTGTACTCTGCCTTTTTCTAGAATTGATCTTATTGAAAAGATCTGATCCATAGCCCCTCGACATCTCATAAACCCTGCCTGGTACAATCCAATTTATTGGGCGGAATCTCTGATATAGCACCCTTGAGAACACCTTGTAACCGTTAGAGAGCAGAGATATTCCTTGGTAGTTCCTGCATTCCATAATGTCTCCTTATGTATTACGGATGTTATTATTATTTATTATGATTGTCATATACCAATCATCTGGCATTTCTTCACTTCGCCAAATGTTCGTGATAAGATCATACAATTTGTTCACTTTTTCTCCTCCATATTTCAGAAGTTCTCAGTGAAAACCGTCTGCTCCTTGTGCCTTATTATTTTTCAGGTAGCTTATCGTTTCTTGAAGCTCCTTGTAATCTGGTAGCTCAAGGTCTCCTGGGATATCTTGCACAGGTTCAAACAATCGCGATTTCTTGTTTTGTTCAAGAGACTGCTAGAAGTAAACCCTTCATCGTTCTAGTACCTTCTATTTATCACTAAGCAGTGTGCCATCAGTATCTCTACACACAGGTATTCGTGGCCTAAATGTCTTCCGGCTGGTATTAACCCATTGATAAAGCTTCCTTGTTTCGTTGAGATTTTTAAGGTGCTCAATTTCTGCCAATTGATCACATTCCCATTTCCTCTTTATCCTCTGATGCAGCCTTTTTTCCATTCTACGCTTTATTCGATAGTTTTCTACGGAATGTCTTGTGCATCTTCTTTGTATCATCATACGGTAGACAGAGTTCTTCGTATCTGCTGCTTGCTTTCATTCTTCATTAAACCAAGGAGCTTTTCTTGAATATTCTTCTTGGCTTAAGACTTTGTTTGAGACTTCTAAGATGGCTGATTTATCTGTCTTCCATATCTGACTAAGGTCATCATCCGGTTCAAGGTCTTGAAATTTTAGATCCATTGATTCCGTAAAAAGAAGTTTGTCCTGTAGGTTCCTGAGCTTTTGCACGTTGATCCTTTTTTTCCTTCTTATTTGTCATGTTGCATTGTAGCGATATTCTAGCACTGATCTTAAGGAAATGACACAAGGCCTGCCCTTAAGAGAGAGAACATTTCATGTCTGGGAACATGGAATGTTCTCTCTCTTAAGGGCAGGCATTGTGTCATTTCCTTAAGATCAGTCCGGCATATTTTTGTACGGCTTTATTAATATTTAAAATTTATGGGGAGGGGGTTACCAGCCCAGACTCTGCCTGCAAGTCAGGTAGAGAGGCTGCCTACTTGGAGTATTCTGACGTACTCCCTGGTTTTATTTTATTTTTTTTTTTTGCGGCAAGAGTGTACTATGGCCATGTAAGCCTATTGTACGCCTAGAGTGGGAACTGGAACATCCGACAGAGTTGTCCTGTTGATCTGGTCCGGGGCGGTTAACTAGTAGGGGAGGTGATTCTAGGGTGTGTACTGTATTTGACCTTGTGTTGTTTGTTTGTAGTGTGCTATTTGCAGTGTACTATGTGGGCGTCAGAGTAGTTGTTCCACCAACCTGATGGGCCAGTAGCTGATTGCAGTCTATAGACTAGGCGATGGGGTCGCCACACCCTACACCAGTCGGATAGCTGCTCTTGAATCCTGCATTTTTTGTTATACTCATGGGACTAAGTGTCCCAGAATAAAGATTAATTTTTTATTTTTTTATAGAGACAAATTTGCAATGTTCTGTGTGCTGGGAAGATTTTAAAGCTGAAGAGCCTGTTAGGAAGTTACCTTGTGAACATGTCTACCATGAAAATTGTATCATTCCTTGGCTAGAGCTGGTATGCTATTGAAATAACTTACTTAACTGAAGTGTGTGTGCACGCTTGCGTGTGCATGTATATTTTTATATTATAAGTATAGTTTTTCATTTAAAGTATTAATTAAATATATTTTATAGCATGGTACTTGCCCTATATGCAGAAAGACATTAACTGATGATGGGCGAGCTGAAGATCCAGATAACTCGAATAATGTTGTTGGCAACAGTTTAGCAACACTTTTCCGGTGAGATTAATCAAATATTATATTATATCAAATATTATATTTAAAACATATTATAAATATCTATTTCACAGAAACACTTAAATTTCTTGTTAATGTTATACCTTCACATCAGTAATTCAGTTATTTCAATATTTCTGAAATCTGGACTTACAATTTCTTCAAAATGAAGCATGACTTAAGTTCTTTTCTATTGGTTATTGTTTAATTATTGGATAAATTGTTTAGATTAAAAAATCTAGTAAGAATTTGCCTATTATGAATTTTGATATTTCTTCTTTATAATCTATTTTATAATTTGATTAGCCATCATCTATTTAATCACATTAGCTTAGTAATTTAATAAAATGAGACATGTATTATTGTTAGACTATTATCAATGAGTGCGTGGGTTTCTGTTGGATTTTATTTGATACTGAATTTACTTTTATTTAGAACAAAAACACCTTACTGCTGGATTATTGTTTGATGAAAAGAGTATGTAGCAATTTGTTTAGTCATGACAAAATCGAAGAGTTTTGATAAACCATCATTTTGGCAATGAAAGAATTTTCCACTACCAAAGTGGTAGTATCGTCGGTTTATTGCAAAAAGTTACTAAGTACATTTTGGATGGAGCTGGGACTTTCAAGAACGTTTTTGTGAATTTTCATATTTTTTGTCAAAAAAAAAACAACACATTATGTGAACTAAAATGACAAATCGTTTTATATATCAATTATAATTATGATTACAACAAGAGCATGATTTTTTTAATTTCACAAAAGAAAAATTCACCAATGTAGTAATTTATGATTATTGATTGGCGCTTGATAAAAAAACAGGGTATAGTTAGATTCCTAGGTGAGACATGAATTAATAATGTTTACTTTTTATATTTTCCACAAAATCGTTTCATTACATCTGTCTCATAAGAGGACATGATAGCTTAGCTGTAGAGGTGAGGGTCCTAGAGTGGTGCCTGGTGTAGAATTGGTTTTGATTCCACCTAGGTCAGTTAATATTTCTTAGTGGTTTCAAGAATTGAGACTCCCACTTTGGTTAGTACTTAGTATCAAACTCTAGGTTGTCTTGATTTTTTAAAAACATTAATAATAATAGTAATAAAAGGCTTAGCGAACTTGAAGGTTCGATGCCGACACCACCAATCGCTTATTACACACCTCCCTCCACCGTTCTCCGTCCAAACCCAGTACCTTCAGATCACCTTTAATGCAATCTTCACATCTTCGCTTCGGTCTACCCCTCGGACGTTTACCATTCGGTTCAGCAAATATTAACCTTTTAGGAATTCTCTCATTAGTAAGCCCAACAATTTTACAAATCCATTTGATTCGCCGCAATGAAATCACCTCAATTATATTATCCGGATACAGTTCACGCAATTCAGTGTGTAACCATCTGAACTCTCCAGTTAACTCATCCTTCTTCGGTCCGAATATTCTGTGCTATACTTTATTTTCAAAAACCTTAAGACGCTGCTCATCCCTTAATGTAATCGGCCACGTTTCACATACATAAAGAACTGTAAGTAAGATAATGATTTTATAGATTCTAATTTTTAAGTACCTAAATTCCTAAGTTAAGTTTTTTTTAGTTAAGAGGCACTTAAAAAGGCAAAGTTCCTAACTTTTCCCCCTGAAATTTGGGGAGAATGTAACTATTCTTCCTACCTGAAGAATAAAATAATCTTCAAAAATGATGGAAAATGAAATCCATAGCAACAGTGGCATCAAGACTCATTATCTTTAGTATAAGATTGGGCCCATGTATTATCTCAAAAATAATACATTTTAGGACTTTAAAACGCAGGATACAGTACAGTTTTTTTGAACTATACTGGATCATGATGTCGACTTCAAAATATTTAAACATCAATTTATCTATCCACTGAATTATAAAATCATCTGTTTTGAAAATTCCTCATTATTTCAAAGACTTTTATTGTAATTGTAATAATATTTTAACTTTTGAAATTATGATTTGTCACTTTTCCCCATGATATTTTCTTTCATCGTTCGATACTACCACATTCATCAAAATCCATCGATCCTGAAAAAGGATCTATACTACTGTATTATATATGATATAGATTTTATTCTGCATTTTCTATATTTGACTTTGATATGAATAAATTAGTAAATAATAACTGTAGTAAGTTAGTAAATAATAACTTAATGAACAATTTGGAGATGCTTTCGTACCACTTGTAACAAAAACTTTTCTATGAGGAAAGGAACGTAAGAGGGGTTGAGGATTTCGTTTTTTAATGGCTTTAAAATTAATTTATGGGTAGTCCCATAATTTAACAACGATACAGGGCTGCAAAGAGCAGCTGAAACTATTATTATATGAAATTATTACATTCCTTTTTGTCTATTTCAATTTCAAATCAAACTGTTTCATTATTATTACATTTGTTTTCGTCTATTTCATATATGTGTTGTAAAATAAAAATATTTTTTTACTATTACATTTGTTTTTGTTTACAATTTCAATAATATGAATACGAAGATAAGGATTATCAGAATTATCAGTGCTCAGGTTATAAACATTGGCCGATAGCAGTCGATCCCGACCACATACTAGACAAGTATCCATAACCCACGAATGTACTCTGTTCCTGTCATGATTTTAACCATTTAATCATCACTATTTGTTGTGGTCATCTCGATAAAATGATGGAATCCATTAACATGCCCGAAAAGCTAGTCCCTGTTTGACCAATGCTCTCTGAAGTGGGAGTTGAAGTTTTTATTTATTCTTTAATCGGACAACAATTTTTTCTTCACTGAACTGAAATAGATTTCACCATACATACTATTTTATGCTAATTTATATTAGTTTGTTATTATCAATTAAAATAATACTTCACATTGATTAGGTATGCAAGTGCAAGTGAATCTTCAAATTCTAGAACTTCTTCTTCCTCTTCATCATCTTCTTCATCGGGTACTGGGTCTACTGGCAGCACTAGTAGCAATGGAAGTACTTCATCTTCAAGACCAGACTTCAATATGGATATAGATTTTGATTAAGTAAGCAACTAATATTGTATTTCTGTTTTGGAAACTTCAATTAAATATGCAAATGCTCTTGGTTAGATTATAAAAGAATTTATGAATCTGTCCCGAAATAGATTTATGTGTGTGTGTATATATATATATATATATATAAATTGAGGATATTGAGTTAAAACAATTTAACCCTTAATTTTTAAACATTGTTCCTTCCACCATCCAGTGCTGATAAATTAGATCTATGTATGGGTAAAATATTACAAAAATAAATAACCCATATACAGATCTGACCTTCCAGAACTGGATGAGCAACAAAAATTCAGGGTTGGGTAGTATTTCAATGTATATATGATTAAATTCCTACTGTGCCAACTTATAACCCTTTTTTTTCTCCTATTTTCATTGAGTATGTATAACCATTAACTGTTTTTAGTGGTATTTAGGTTTGATGTAATTACAGATGACAATTACACAAGTTTTTGCACAACACTGAAAAAAAAAACATGTTTAAAAATCAAGAGTTTAATTGTTTTATCTTTATAACTTCAACATGTTCATAATAGAAAGGTAATCTTTATTTATAGGTGTGTTTTTGTAGGAAAAGGTTTTTATAGCATTTGATGTATGATAAATAGCATCTTGTAAAACTTCATTATTTTTATTAGTTGTTTGTATGGTATGCATTTTCAATTCCCCCTGTGGCTTCAGATTCAAAAGCTCAAATTTCTATTTAGAATTTTTAACCCCTATAATCCCGCGGAACATAATCTTAAATGTGGATTGATGGTTAACTGCAGTGAATAATTCAAGAGAAGAATGGTTTGGGTGATCAGTAAAAAAAATATAAAAAATAAATAAGTATATTTATTTTGATCTGTAAAAAGTATATATATATATATATTTTTTTTTACTGATCACCCCAACTATTCTTCTCTTCAATAATCTTAAATGACTCAACAATTCCGCTTACCAAGTCTGTTGAATACTACGGTATAACGCTCGATAATAAACTCTTATTTATTCAACACATCAATTCAAAATTAGAAATTATCTGAAAGTAAAGTTGAAATTTTCATATTTCAATACAAAATCAAAACTTTCACCCAAAACCAAATTAATTCTGTATAAATTTGTAATAAGGCTAATCTTAACGAATACACCTGCCCTATATGGAGCCTCACTAATAGAACTAACATAAAAAACTACAATTTTTTCAAAGAATTATCTATCTTTATAATATAATACAACAGTTTTTTGCCATAACAATCTCTTTTCTGGCTCTCAGAAGTGATGTATTTTGATGAATAAGGTATCAAACGAAACGATATTAAATGGTGCAGTGACGAGTATCCATCCGAAATTTGGGAAAAAAATTATGAATGAAAATAAAATTTATTTGCGAGTTATTTAAATAGTATACATTTTTTTCTTGATTAAACCCATTATTATTTGAAAAATTACTAAATTCCCTACAAAACAAAAACAGCAAAATAGTGAAAACGGACCATTATTTACAAAGGTACACAGCCTATTGTAATTTATATATTATTACTTCTAATATTGTTTTCAAAGAAGCGTTATAAAATATTAATAATTATAATTTTTATATAACTTATGATTTCCGAAAACTAATTTAATAATTTCCTTGTTTTATGTATTTAAGGATAACTCAGACATTTTTTATGATTAAGTAAATGTCTTTTAAAGTCCTAAAATGGGCAGTTTTCCAGTTAACGCGCGAGCCTAACCTTATATCTGCGGTAGGAAATCTTGATCCATTGTTTGTCATGGATTTAGTTCGGATACATATAAAAATTACAATATACAAATCGTGCGCAAACTACGAATCGGACATGCTAGGATAACACATGAACATCTAATGACAAAGGGTGCATATCTAGACTGAACGTTGTGCCTATTAAGAACATCGGAATGAAGTAGAGGAAAATAATATTGTTGAAATTTTGAAAAACAACACGAAGATGGCAACAAATTGTTTTTATTTATTCAAAAAACACATACATATATCAATTTCTTTTTTTTGTAAATGTTAATGAATGAATGAATGAAAAAATAATTTTATTCTGGGACTACTTTCCCCTAAGAATAATAACAGAGTTACAAATTTATGTATCTTAGTCTGACATAATAAAAATACCAACTAATTTATTGTTAATTGTTATTTCAATTGTGCAATTGATTGAAATTAAACATTGTATAGATGCAAGTAATTTTATGTGTTAGGGGAAGTTTGAATGTGGAGTAGGTGTTGGAACAGGTGCTGTTTGAAGGAATTTGTGGATGAGAATTGACGCATGGAGGTAGGAAGTGAGTTCCATAAAGAAGCAGCACGAATGATGAAGGATTTGCTGAAGGAGGAAGTTTTATGGGAGGGAATATATAAGTCTATATGTTTAAACCTAGTATTGAGAGAGTGGATAGAGGAGCGCAGAGTAAGGAGTTCCAGGATGTAGGGAGGGTTTTTAGTTCTGAAGACTTGGAAAAGGAAAACGCCAAGGAGGAATTGTCGTCGGGAAATAGGATAAAGTCACTTTAACTCTGTATACCATAGTGAAACATGTGAATGCCTGGGGATCCCGAAAATATATCTTATGAAGCAATTCATGAGTCTTTTTAATCTCATTTCCAGCCTGGCAGATAGCCCTCCATACACCAAGCAGCCGTAGTCGAAGTGGGGGAATACAAGGGAGGTTACAAGGAACTGTCTGGTTTTTAGAGGAATACAATCATGAAATCTTAGGAGTTGTTTAAGGGCAGTTATGGATTTTCGGGTAATCTGGGAGATATGATTATCCCAGAAGAGGTTCTGGTCAAAGGTTACTCCTAGGTTTTTGACTGTATGGAAAAAATGGATGGGATGGTTATTGAGGTAAAGTAGAGGAAAGTAAGGAAAGGAGCTGATGAGATGTCTGGACCCGATGATAATAGCCTTGGTTTTATCTGCATTCAGCTTTAATTTATTTATTTCTGCCCATCTGTTGATGCAGTCGATGTCCTCTTGTAGCCTCCGGGCGGCCTCAGGCATCTCAGAAGGTTGGAATGATTGGTATATTTGGAAATCATCGGCATATAGGTGGTAATTAGAGTGTTGAATGGCGTTAGGAAGGTCACTAATATAGATGGAGAAAAGGGTCGGGGAGAGTGAGGAACCCTGAGGAACACCTCGCGTTAATTGAAGTGATGATGATGGAGGTTTATTCGGTATTGTAACTGTCTGAGATCGATTGGATAAGAAGGATAGGAACCATTTTAGGACGCTATTTGACATGGGCAGGCTTTGGAGTTTGGAAAGAAGGATCTCATGATTAACGGAATCAAATGCCTTGGAAAAGTCAAAAAGAATTAGGATGGAGATTTTCTGTTTATCTACTGCGGATTGGAGGTCTTGGGTAATCCTTAGCAAGGCAGACTGGGTGGAATACTGGGAACGGAAACCAGATTGTAAGGGATTGAGGAGATGGTTTTGCTCGAGAAAGCTGTTCAACTGAGAGTGAACTAATCTTTCTAGAGGCTTGGATAGATTGGATAGGATGGCGATGGGTCTGAAGTCGGAAGCTGATGAAGGAGTTGGAACTTTGTTCAGTGGACGGACCTCTTTTCAAAGATTTGGGAAAAATGGAATTTTGGAGAGAGAAATTATGTATGTATGTGCAGAAGTGCGGGTAGTAAAGCTGGAACGCATAGTTTGATAACTTTAACAGGTATTTGGTCAGGACCATAATCATTCGTTTTGGATTTAAGGGTGGCAGAGAGCAGGTCTGTAGGAGAGATGTCGAGAAAGTAAAACTTATCAGGATCAAAGGGGGTTTCGGTAATGGAAAAAGATGAGCGGTCAGATGGAGATGTGGATAGAAAATGGTTAGTGAAAAAAGAATTTAGTGTGTTGGGATCGATTGGATACTGTGTGCAAGTTTTCGAGGTAACAATAGAGAGGTTCTTAAGGATTTTCCATTTGAATTTGGGGTTAGGTTCTTGGGATAAAACGTTATTGAAGTATTGGGCTTTGGCATGACGTAGGGTCATTTGTGTGAGATTTCGTAGAGATTTAAATGTGGAATAATGCTGAGTTAGTCTAGTACGTCTGTATCGTCTTCTAGCAGTTTCTCTTCTCCTCATTAGTTCTCTTATTTCTGTATTGATCCAAGGAGCGGGAGGACGTCTAAAGACACGTGTTTTTAGAGGTGCGTGACGATTGAGGAAATCAAGGAGGTTGGAGGAAAGGCATTTAACCACATCATCGATGGAGGGGAGAGAATAGATGGGTTCTAAGCATGTGGAAAGAGAATCGAGGAAGGGGCTGATGTTTTCAGCCTACATTAATGTTTTCTGCCTTCAAGTTTACTGTTAATTTTTTTATTGTGTAAGAGCTAAAACAAACTGTAAATAGTCCCCATTTTTAGAAATAAATATGATATATACTATCTTTTATTTCTCATTGGTATTTAATTTCGCCATATCTTATTTAGTACTAAGACAATCATTTTAAAGATTGTCTAAACACAACCCCCCACATCTCAGAGAAAAACCGTTAAAAATAAAAACAAACTTAATTTGCCCATAACAAGAAAAGTATGTAATTTACAGTGAATTAAATTCATGAATAATTAAAAGGTTACAAAATTTCCTAGAAAAATATATCGAAATTAGACCATTATGAGCAAAGATATAGACTACATCAAACTTTACAAAAGTTTTTGTTTTATTATTATGAATCAACTATTTTAATTTGACCAAGAAAAGGAAAATGTTTTCCTCCACCTGATAATAAATTTCATTAACATATTCCCATACTATTTTACCAGTTGTTCTCTGACCAATATTTTATGCAAATTATTCGCACAGGCCAGCTTAGCTAGTCAACAATTATTCCCATTATACCAAAATAATAAGATGCACTCAATATTAGGCAAGCCCTACATACAAGATTATATTTACAAAACACTCCTAGCCTTCTTTCAATTTCAAGAAAACTCATTAAATCGATTAATAACTGAAAT